CTAGCATCCCGTTTGGCAGGTTTCCCTGCCTGGCTAAGCCCTTGTAGGATAAACAGTAGGAAGATGTATGGATGGATTTACGTCATTGAAATATCAAATTGATTGCTAAATATCAGACTAATTGATAAGTGATACAGATTTAGAACTGTGTCAGCTGTGCGAGGTAGACCTGCAGCTGACCTGTCTGCTCTGCCTGCTCTCCCAGCACCACTGCAGGAAGTGTGGCCAGGCTGTTTGTGGCAAGTGCTCCTCCCGCCGCTCCAGCATCCCCCTCATGGGCTTCGAGTTCGAAGTTCGGGTCTGTGACAGCTGCTACCAGTCAATCACTGATGAAGAGTGAGTATTTATTTAAAGGGCCAGTTCACCCCAAAACTGAAAACCGTTCGTATCACTGCACAGAAAATAGCGCCAGGGTGCTTGTACTCTTATCTTCTGTGCTGTGATAATATTGGTGTGTGGAGTTTGATAGAAGAAAATAGTTCCTACATTAAACTGCTCACTACAAAGGCTGGTCATGATTTCTGATAAGAGGCATTGCTGTTGAGTTCTTATAAAGTGTTTTTTTGGCACTTTAATTACCACAGAAAAAATGCCATTCAGTGCCATTATATTTGAGAGAGGACCAACATTATGACAGATATCTCCAAAATTAACCAAATCCCAAAAGAACAACCTAGATAGATAAAGAGCACCACAGTCCCTCTAACATATATCTTTTTCAGTTTTGGGGTGAACTGCCCCTTTAACTGCCTCTTACTACCTGCATGTAGACTTACTAACTAGTCTGGGCTAGTTTAAATTGGTCTGTGTTACTGGTTGACCATTATTGGTCAGAACCATGTACTGTAGCTGCAGTTTGTGTAAACACCCATTTGAAACTAAGTACATTTAAATGGCATTTTAAGCACAAAATTAAACTAAAATATTGACTAGGGAAAGTATCACCAAGGCTTTTTTTTAGCTGTTTGACTCCCTGAATCATATATCTGCCTGCCAGTGGGTCAGTGCAGCCAGACTTTGTGCACCAGGAAGGGTCCCTTAGGTCACACTTCAAGTCCCTCTTGGTGGGTTTGGCTGCCGCGCTTTGGCACACAGTGTATGGGCAGAGCCAGCAGACAGCCAAGGAGCATACCTGGGCTGATGGACAAGTTGAACAATTTAAATAAGCAGGGGCAACAGTTATTTAGATAACGCAGCTAAAGGCCAGTCCTCATGTTTTTCCTCATGCTGCTTCTGCTCTGTAGCCGAGCTCCGACAGCCACCTTCCACGACAGCAAGCACGGCGTCGTCCACATGCACTTTGAACCCACCCGTGGCTGGCTGCTCACTTCCGGGGTGGACAAGGTCGTTAAGGTGAGAGGTTCTCTCACTGATTTTGTAATGTTAAAATGTAAGGGAAACTACCTTCTGCTCACATGGCGTGTCTCTATATGTGCATCTGCATGTGTGACTTCACAGCTCTGGGACATGACTCCAGTGGTCTCCTGAAGCATCCTCTAACAGGTTTGCTACTCATCAAAGAAGAACACCGTGAGGAAAAACATTAACAGCCATGAGGACCACAGTCACAACTTCCAGAAAACACTGGAACAACATCAACATGCTGTTTTTGGGTTTGTTTTTGTCCTCCCCCTTTCAGACCCTCTGCGTGGAACTGCCTGCTGATTGATTGGTCAAATGACATTTTCTCTTTATACATACTAGCTCTTTGTCTCCTGGGAAATGGAAGTATCCATAAAAGGGGAGTGAGCATGTATGGATCTAAGCTATGTATGCTTTCAAAGGAGCAGAACATTCTGAAAGGGAACTGCACTCCATTAAATCTTTGGGGGGGTCACAAACTGTTGATCCACAAGGGGGCAGCATAACTGTCAGTTGGTCATTGGCACCTCAGCACTGTGTCGATTGTGTCGAATAGCTGCCTTTCCATGCTTCCACATTATCAGTTGGCAGCCACTTAACCTCAACTGTATTATATTAATAGATGTATTTACACATACTAAGTATTTATTTGTCTAAAGTTTTCCATGAGGTGCCTCCCTCCATACAAGTGACACTTCAGAAGAACAGATGCTGAATTTGCTCAACAGACATCAGGGATCTAAGGAAGAGAAGCAAGGACTACATTCTGTTTCAGCTTCTGGATTTTTACATTCATGCATCTGAAACAGCTTCAGTTTGAGACAAACCTTGAGGTCAGTGGAGACTACAAGAGTGTTGCTGAGATGTTGGCAGTAACCATACTTTGCTGATGATGTTAAATGATATCTGAACCTTGTTTTGGTGTTGATTTGACAGGTCTGAACCATTCAGTGAGTGATTTACAGTTCAGTTCATCAAAGCATATCAAAAATAAACAAAAAGGTATAGTTTTACACACATAATATTCTACAATAGTTCTAATGCTCATGCAGCTGTTTAAACTCATTGAAGTATTTCTTACGAAATTTAGAGGTACTCCCAGAGAGTCATGGTGATTTTCAGGCTTTTCTATGGACACATCCATTAGACCTTGTTTTTTGACCCTGTTGTACTATAATCATTCTCTGCTATCCCATGGTCATGATCTGACCAGCCGTATGAAAGAAAAACGCTTTATATTTCCTCAGTGTAATATTAGCATAGGCGTACCTTTAAAATGAGCTTTTTGCAGAGCTTTCCGAATGAGGTATGCAGTGCATTCTGGGAATGAAGACACTGGATATTGTCAGCCATAATGGGCGAGACGATGTTCCAGAGTTCTGATCCATTTAAAATGTTGCACCCAAGCCCACTTACAGTCTCTTACTGAAGTTCATTCCCAGCATGATGGGTATGAAGACGATTTGCATGCACAAAACTGCACAGGGATTTGCATTTTTCAAAAGCAGGTTAGCATATCAAACATAGGATGGACATGCCTCCTCTGCCAGCTTGTTTTGGGTGGTGGAAATTCAGCGGTCTCTCCTTGAACTTTAACTTAGTCTTGTCTACTTTGTTATGTGGGTCATGTGGTCCGGAAATGTAAATATGACCTTGGTGTACATAAATATGTAAAATTATAGGCTGGGCAGGAGAAGGAGGGACCAGTGGTTATTCCCAGGGGTGTTTATGCTCTCTAGCTCTAAGCTGAACAGAAGCAGCATATTCTTTGACCCTCCACCGAATTTTTGTACCCCAGATTTGTAGAAATTGCTATTAAGGGTTAATCTACGCCACCCTTGGCAAGGAGTGATAAAATTGGCTAAAATGAATCTGTGAGGGTGTGTTGTTCTGGGTTCTGTGTCTTGCCGTGTTCCGGACTTGTGGGCTTTGGTCTTCTCAGTGTACATGTCTGCTGTCTGTCTTCGGAGCTGAAGCCTGTCCAGAATGTTGTTGTGAGTCTAAAGGTGTTGATGTGGGACTTGGGTTTGGTGGTAGCATGACCCGTCATGGTAATACCAAAGTGAGCCTGAACACAGGCCTGGTAGCATCGTTGTTTCACAAGCGCATGGCCCTCATTAGCAAGGAGCATCAGCCTCAGACAATGTGTTCCTACAGCATCACGTGTGAGCGCGGTGTGTGCACAAGGCTGACCCATGCGCACTGGGAGACGTGTCTTACACGTCTGCTTAACTAAGTGTACATAGAACAGGTCTACACCTGTAAATACCTGTAAAAACAGTAAATATGACATTTTAGCATGATTGTAACTCAGAAGTGCACCGCAGTTTTTGAAAAGGGTGTAATTTTATACGCTTGAAGTTTGGCTACGGTTGGATTTTTCCATTGGTACTGTGTCGATACTGATTAACTAGTAGTTAGAGGAGCAGATATACCAAAACAGCAAACGCACCTTGATATTGTGTGGTGACCGTGGCAGATGTGAAGGGGGGAAGGGGGAGGGGGGGTGCTGAACACCGCACACAGAGGGACCTTGTGTTACTAAAATGGGATCTTACTCAAGGCAAGGTTACTAAAGTCTGGCATATGCAGAATAGTGCATAAAAACATAAGAGATGAATGCTCACAGCTAAATAATAAGCATCTGATGTAGAGGATTTTTAGCTGTTTTGTTAAGGTTATGATTTCATTGAAATTGTGTCCCCATTTTCGTCATGCCAGCTCTCCTGTGTGTCCTGTCACCTTGTATCTCAGCCATTCACAAAGCCTTGACGTGCCAGAGAGCACTGAGGACAGGGTGTACGTTTCTCACTGCTGTCATGCCGCTGTCACCTGCTTTAGCCATTTGTCTTGGAGTGTGCAGCAGGTCCCTGCTTCACATGCCCTCTAGTGGTGTTTAAACCACACCTGAATGTTTCTGCTGGCTCTGTACACCACAATGGCAGCCTCTCCCAGTCCCAACCTGTTAATACTTTACTACTGTGCTTCAGTTTACCTGTTTGATAAATCCAGCATGACTTGTCTAAACTAAAATACATTCCATTTTGTACATAATGTGAAGACCTACAAAATTGTGCTTGATTGTGATTTTTTTGTGGAGACAATTCCTGCTACAGAAAACCTTAAATGTTTCTTTTTAGTTAATGACTTAACAAAATTGTTGTTTAAAGTGTCAGAATGTCATTTTAAAGGCAGTTATGAACAGCATATCAAGAGTGGTTTTTGTATCTTGGAGAGAATCCAGTTTAGTTAGCAAAGCAGCCTTTAACTGTGTGAATTTGTCTGACCTTAACTGGGAGTTTCATTCAGGAGGAGAATGATGGTGTTTTGACAAACAGACTGTTGACTACATTTTGGGTGAGGTGGCTGAATGTTTCACATCCTGTTGGCTTGTTGCGTGCCACAACAGCAGCCAGATGGCACTCGAGCTGCTTGCTGAGATTGCTTTGCTCTCGTGATGCTCACCCTGCACTGGATATGTACCCCCCCCCCCCCCTTGTCTTCTTGCAAAAAGCAGAACTGTGAGATGTCAATGAACTTATTGGGAACATCAGGAGACCTTAAATTAAAGCTTTTCAATATTTCCTTCATTGCTTTTGCATTTGTTCTCTTTTTACTTATCACTGTGACACATATACTCTAAATATAAAATGTATTTTATTGGAACAGTATAATATAAAGTGTTTAGATCACACATTCAGTCCAGGTACTAGAGGAGGGCAGGAAAAGCGAAATTAGATATATACAGTTTACAAACTATATAAGTGGGATTTTTCCGTCGGCATCCGTTGATCCTGGTGAGGTCGTCTTTCCAGTTGTTAGAGGGGCGACACGTTGTGCTAACTGCTGCAAGCAGCCCAACGGGCTTCCTAAGCATCTCTTGCACCCTGGGTTGGCTGTGGTCTTGGCTGGAACTTGTGAGACAGGTCCTCCAGGGCCGTCACCAGCTGCTGCTCCTCCTCTTTGGAGGCCCTGGTGGAGGCCAGAGGCAGGTGTGTGGACACCGGCTTCCGGTCTGTGGCAGCGTGGGAGAGGAGGAAGGTCAGCCTCTGCTACCGCAGTAAGGGGCCCATGACCACAGCTTTAAACGTGCTGTTAACTTTTGGTGATACATACTTTGTCAGCTGAGCACACCGCTATTTGCTGAGCAATACTGTACACACACACACACCCTTTTTCTCCATTAAAGCATCTAAGTATACATGACAAGCATCTTCTCCCACGGTTTAACATCACGGGTAAGCAGCACAGCTGTGGTTTATGGCATCGTGTTTTCTGAGCTAGAAGCAGATTAGCATTTCTGTGCAGAGGGACAGAGCCCCCGCTCACCTTGGAAGAAGCAGCCGCTGGCATGATGGATGGCCTCCTTTGACACAGCCAGCCACACCACAGTATCTGCCCCCTGAGCCTCTGTGCGCAGCCTGCTCTTCATCTTCTCATAGAAATCGGGCATGGAGGATCGCACCGCTGAAGAGCAGACGCATGCACAATCATAATCAGCAAACATACATATACAACTGTGCTGCACAGTCATATACAGTCTCTGCAATGAGATAAAACATGGGCCAGATCAAGGACCCACCTGGAGTATCAGCCCATCCTGGATGCATGCAGGAGAAGTGGATCTCCTTATGCTTAGAGGCCCACTGCTCCGAGAGGATCACCTGTTGTCTCTGGTAATAGAAAACTGTAGATATGAAACCTGCACACCTATACTCCTATATACACAAGGTCCCAGGGGACACAAAACTCTGCTCATACACAAGGTCATGGAACCTGCACACCTATACTCCCATATACACAAGGTCCCGGGGGACACAAACCTCTGCTCATACACAAGGTCATGGAACCTGTACAACTATGTTCCCATATACCCAAGGTCACTGACAGGTGTCGGAAACCGGGGGACAGGGGGGCACATTCCCCCCCCCCAAAAAAAAATTAAATAAACAGGAGCGCATTCCTTATCTTTCCTTATGAATCCATGTGTTGCTGAAGCAAATTCGCTGAGCAGGCAGAGCGTGAGGAGAAAACATCCCAGCACGATGTGACTATTGCATGTGTGCCCATTGCAATGCCACAATATGTATGAAAGACAAAGCATTGCACGATGCATCTAGTTCCTATGCATGCCTATGGAGCGGCATTCTTTTATAGTCTCTGTGCTTGTTCCAGCATTGTTTATCGGCAGTGACATTACAGCAGTAAGGACACTACTGCATTATAGATGGCAGTTTCTTAGAAAGCGTCACCCAACAATGTTTTGTGTGCGCTTCAAATGATTTCTAAATAATAGGTAAGTGCAAGAAATTACACAGTTCAGTGTTTTTCAAGATGTTGCTAGATGCAAGAACTTCAATTGTGATGCCATTGTCTTTCTTAAAGGGCAATTCCATAAAAATCCATAACATACATGTTGATGAAACCATGTTTAGTGTTGAATGGATGTGAAATGCCACTTCAACGGCGTACTCTTACTTTGTTCTGGGCGTAAGCTATGGTGCCATCAAAAGTACCATTCTCGAACTGCATGTCGCTCACGTTCAGCTTCTGGACAAGCATGCCCCCTGATGACACTGTGATCTGGGGGGGGGGGACCCAACACAGCCTCAATTAGAAAACGCCAACTATGAGCCTTCAACTGCTCATGCACTACAGGCCTGTGAGGACGTTATTTTTAGTGTGTACTTTTAATGAAAGCCTCCTGCAGGTCAGAGGAAACAAAGTACTGCATTGAGCACATATCAATGAATAGTGCTAAATGTGGCTGCTTTCCTGGCACTCGAGACACCATTAAATAAAAATACTTTTATCCAATGGGGGTGTAACGGTAAAAAAAAATTATGGTTCGGTACAAATTTCGGTTTTGGGTTCATGGTTCGGTGCAATTTCAGTACAGCAAGGAAAACAAATTAATAAACATTATATGATAATGATAAGCATTATAGTTGTATAATAGGGTGACCAGATAATCCATGTCAGGGAGGACACTTTGAGCTACTTCGGGTTTTACAAACTACTTTCTAATTAAAGGCTCCTGTGCTCGGCTAAATAGTTCAGCTCTTCTTGTGC